CCACTGCTTTAGAACAAGCTCAGTGTTTGCCCTTGATAGGGGAAACTCAAATATAACGTTTGTATAATTCTAAATTATATGCTTTTATTGTTATCCGTAGGAAAATTACATAAGTATATCGAGTTACTAAATAAGAATTCATGCTTCATGGGATTATTATCAGGTAAGAGTTGAGAGTCAGGGCTAGGGTTGTAGCTCAGCGATAGTGGTACAGTGCTTGCCTAAAGTGTGAAGCACTGGATTCAATCCTCAGCACTATATAAAAATAAATAAGTAAAATAAAGGTATTGTATCTATCTAAAAGAAAAAAACCAAACCAAAATATTTTTTTAAAAAAGTTGAGAGTCTATCAAAAACGCAACTTTTTGAAAATAATTGGCCGTCATTAATTAGCTTTTATGGTCAAGTATCCTAGTAATAATTGGATAATAATTCCATGAAGGCAGAAATGTTAGCAGTTACTCTGGTGAACTTTTCTCAGGTTTTATTTTTGGAATGTACTCCAGGAAAAAGAGTGCCTTAAAGGTGTGAGTTCTTTGGAGTTTTTATTGAGTTTTTGTGTTTTTTCCACAAAAAAGCTTTTTGTCAAACTGACTTTAAAATGTTCCTAGCATAATATCAGTGGAACATAGTTATATGTATTAGAACTTGGGAGTCCCAGTTATTCTTTTAAACATAGAATAGATGCATTCTTATATTCTAAAGAGGATTTTGTCACTCTTTATCTCAGACCATGTCAGGGTTTTCATTCATATATGCACCAAGATAAGAAAAATGACAGTGTAGGAAGCTAAATGTATTAAAAGTATTTTGAGTTTTTGCTCTTCCTGTACTTTTTTTTTTTTAACATAATATCTTTATTTTTTATATTTACATGGTTCCAGGGATCGAACCCAGTGCCTCACGCATGCTAGGCAAACGCTATACCACAGAGCCACAACCTCGGCCCCTACTTTTTAATATTTTAGTAAATTGTAGTGTTTTTTAACGTGTTTTTTACATGAGATTGACTCTTTCCCCCAGATGACTTATCTGTGAGGCAATTTGATGGTATATTTAATCATCAAAAGAGCTGAGCCACATTCTTTCTAGGCACTTTCTGGATAATACATTAGCAAACTTATTGATGTACAATATCTAGCAAAAGCACTGAAAGAAAAATTACATTGATATAATTGCCTGAAAATTGTGAAGTCCTCTGGGTACATACTTGGAAATTTCCCTCTGGATTAAACAAGAATAGTAATGTTTTCAGACAACCTTATACTGGTCCCCTAAACAGTTGCTTTTACTGCTGAGTAGAAAGAAGCCATTGGCTTAGGTTGAGGGATGCCTCATGAGGTGGCCTGATGAATCATCTCCTTGGGTGCCTAGTAAAGCTGCTGGTGATTGGTTTAATACCTGTGTTACATAGCAGCCTCTTTATGCGACTCCTTAATGGATGTTTCTTTCTGGTCCTAGCATAGAGTACCATTTGCAATTGTCTCAAACAAAAGGCTTTGTTTTTGTTATAGGGTCACCATGAATTGTGTAACTGATTAAGTTTACTTATTTAGGGTAGGTCTATAAAGTTTAAAGTTGTATATGTAGCCTACTCATTACAAATATATAGTTTCTTTTTTTTTTATAGAACCAGCTCTGTAATTTCAACTTTATTTATTTAATATTTATCTTAAGTTTTAGGTGGACACAGTATCTTTATTTTACACTTATGTGGTGCTGAGGATCGAACCCAGTGCCTGTTGCATGCTAGGCAAGCACTTTACCACTGAGTCACAACACCAGCCCCTCATTTATTTGTTTTTGAATAGGTAATTCAATCACTTGGTTCAAAAATCCCAGTTGCAAAAGGCTACATGATTAAAAGTCATCTTTCTACCACTTTCTTTTCTTCCTTTCCTTGAGAGCTTGTTTAGAGGTTCCAGTAGTGAAGCACAGCTACTCATACATCCTTGACTGAAGGATAGTCCTGCTGGGGAAGGTTGTCTTCTTTCACTGAGTGCACAGCTTCAGTGATCAGCACATTGAGGGATGAGGGAGGAAGGGAATACCTGCTTAGTTGACTAGATTAACCAAACCAACCCTAGAAACCAGTGGGGTAGCAGAGGTCACAACCAAATTGCCCTCACATCCTCTTCCTTTCCTTGAGATAGGGATCTCACTATGTTGCCCAAGCTGGTCTAGGACTACGGGGCATAGGCTGCCATGCCTGGTTGTACCACTTTCTCATAGCTATTAAGTTTCATTCCTTGGAGGCAACCATTGTTATTGGTTTTTTATGTATCCTTCTGAGATATTTTATACATTTATAAGCCTATCTACTTTATAGACTTTTATAGCTCCATTTTATGTCTTTTTTTAAATCTTTTGTCCCATATTTTAAAAATGATTTTTCTTGATTCTTTTTAAAAATTACAAAATACTTCATGTGTATTACTGATTCAGAAAGATGAAGAAAGGATAAAAGAAACTAAACATTTTCTGTAATCTTATCATCCAAAGATCATTATTGTTAACATTTTAATATTTATTTTTCCAGACATTTCTCATCAAATATATATTCATTCTCTTAAATAATGAAATGAATGCTTATAAAAAATTTAAAATAAAATTGTATTATATTTTATGTGCTGTTTTATGACCTGTTCTTCATTTAAGACTATTCCATGGACAGTGCTCCTTCAGTAAATATAGATCTATACTTTGTTTTTTAATTTTAACTTTTTTTTAAACATTTTTTTAGTTGTAGATGGACACAATATCTTTATTTATTTTTATGTGGTGCTGAGGATCAAACCCAGTGCCTCACACGTGCACGGCGGGCGCCCTACCACTGAGCCCCAGCCCCAGCCCTTAATTTTAACTTTTAACTTTGACATAATTTTAGATTTTTAAAACATTGGAGAAATAGTACATGTGGGGCTGGGTTGTAGCTCAGTGGTAGAGCCTTTTAGGCAAAGTGCACATATGAGGCACTGGGTTCAATCCTCAGCACCACATAAAAATAAATAAATAAAATAAAGGTACTGTGTCCATTTGTAACTAAAAAAACAAAACAAAAGTATATAGACTTTCTGTTTATCCTTCACCCAGCTTCTGATGTTAACATCCTATATTGCCGTAGTAAAGTGCCTACAACAGAAGTTTAACATTGATTCAGTGCTATTAACTAAAGCACAGACCTTATTACCACTTCCCTATGAATGTTCTTTTTCTGCTACTATTCAATCTGTAATTTAATTTTGCATTTTGTTGTTTTTTCTTAGTCTATTCCAATGTGGGACACCTGCTCAAACTTACATTTTTAAGAGTATTGACTAGTTATTTTTTTCTCTTAATTTGGATTTGTTTGATGTTTTCTCAAGAAGAAATTGGAGAAATATTTTTTTGGCAAGGGTACCACATTTTTGGCATGAGGACCATATATCAGTGAATCATATTAGGAAGAACTTGGTGTTAATATGGTTAAACTATTATTAATGATGTTTAACTTTGGTCACATAATTAAGGAAATGAATGTCAGGTTTATCTGTGTAAAATTATTTTTCCCTTTGCATATGCTGGTTTTTATCATATTTTTTACCCACTGATTTTAGTATCCACTGATGACATTTATTACCCTTTAGAATTATTTCAGTGGGTCAAATAGTGATTTTTTTCTTCTGTCTTTCCTTCTACACTTGATGCTTAGAATTCTCTGTAAGGATAGCTTTCCTTTTTGTTCCACTTATTCAAGTATTTATAACTGCAGTTTTGGGGGAGGGGGCACCAGGAATTGAACCCAGGGTCACTCGACCACTGAGCCACATCCCCATCCCTATTTTGTATTTTTATTTAGATGCAGGGTCTCACTGAGTTGCTTACTTTTGTTGATGATGCCGGCTTATTGTTGTTGATGATGGCTTTGAACTCTTGGTCCTCCTGCCTCAGCCTCCTGAGCTGCTGGGATTATAGGAGTGTGCCACTGCGCCTGGCTATAACTGCAATTTTTAACTCTAAAGTATCCCATCATAAAAACATATATCATTGTATTTAGATAAATTTATATTGATAGGCATTGAGAAATTAGTAGCCAATTTTTCAGTACTCTTGAACACTATACTGAGCATATCACTTTGGGCACTTGCCCAATATTTCCTTAGGAGAAACTGTCCTAAGAACTGTCGTCTTAGAATCAAAAGGCATATACCTAAAAGATATATATTACCCTGTAGAAAAGCTGATAACAAATGTCACACAGTCAAGCAGAATATGAGAATGACTGCCCATTTCTCCACTCTACGGACATTTCTCATCAGCTTCTGATATGTTCTGCCCAGTTCCCAAAAACATAACAAATGTAAATGAAACAGTTTTTAGAGTGTGTGGAAGTTACAAAGAAGTAGAAGGAAATGTACTGTTTAATATAAAACCTTCTCCTAAACTAGGGGCACTGGCACACCCCTATAATCCCGGTAATTCTGGAGGCTGAGGCAGGAGGATTGTAAATTTAAGGTTAGCCTTAGCAATTTAGCAAAAACCTAAGCAACTTAGGAAGACCCTGTCTCAAAAAATAAAAAGGGCAGGGGTTGTGGCCCAATGGTAGAGTATTTGCCTAGCATGTCTGAGGCACTGGGTTTGATCATCAATACTACATAAAAATAAATAAACTAGAGATATTATGTCCGTCTAAATTAAAAATTTTAAAATAAGTAAATAAATAAAAAGGGCTGGGAATATGGCTAAGTGGTTGAGCACCCCTGGGTTCAATCCCTAGTAACAAGCAAAAACTTTCTCCTAACGAGTGTTGTCCCACATTGGAAAGGAATGCTGTGTATGGAAGAGAGTTCCTCATTCTCAGAAATGTTGAACTAAAAATTTGCAAACAATTTCTGGGGATTAGATGAAAGGGATTAGATACACTCTTAGGCCCTTCTTGGTCCTGGACATACATAACATTTCAGTTTATGATCATCTGCTGTCTGCGAAGTCTGAGTGAACGTGGATGTCTTGCTTTTCAGTGGTCGAAGGCCTCTCACTGTTAGACTTGGGAGTATCTCCGTATTCTGGAGCAATATTTCATGAAGTAAGTGTTCTTGTTTTCTTTTTGGGGTACTAAGAGTGGTTTACCGTCATAGATACCAAAGCCTAACCTTTGTTTTGTACAAACATTTAAAAGGATCTATTTTTGAAAATCCTATTTAGAAACACCCCTTTTTTAGATGTCCTCTGGATAAAAAGGTGGTTTCACAGTTACTATTGAAATGATCCAGAATAAGATTGTAACTTGGAGAAACAGGTGAGACTTCTGTAGAAGTGACTTAAATGGCAAATAAATTGAGTAGCATGTAATTGATTCTTTGAAACATGCTTTTCCATGAAAACTTAACATCAATGTTAGTTTCTTAAAAAGCCCACTAAAGCTTATTTAACCCATAAAATTAGTTTTTAAGATTAGTAAAAACAGTGGGCTGGGGTTGTGGCTCAGTGGTAGAGTGCTTATCTCATATGTGAGGGGTACTGGGGTCAATCCTCATCACCACATAAATAAATAAAATACAAGTATTGTGTCCATTTACAACTTAAAAAAAAAGAAAGTCCTTAAAAAAAAAAGATTAGTAAAAACACTCTTGATTAGGTCACCATAATCTCTTGTTTGGGTTACTCCAATAGCTTCCTGACAAGTGTTTCTCAGTTCAGTCTTGCTCATTTCTTCTTTTTTTTTTTTTTTTTGGCACACTACTGGGTATTGGACTGAGTGCCTCTCTCCACTAAACTGAATTCCTAGCCCCTTTTTTACTTTTTTTGTTTTGAGACTGGGTCTTGGTAAGTTTCTGAGATTTGCCTCAACTTGTCAATCCTCCTGCCTCAGCCTGTTGGAGTAGCTTGAGATTATAGGCATGTACCACTGAGCCCAGCTTCATTTTCTTTTCTTTTCTTTTTTTTTTTTAGTTGTAAATAGACATAATACTTTTATTTTATTTGGTGCTGAGAATCAAACCCAGTGCCTTACGCATGCTAGGCAAGCGCTCAGCCATTGAGCTATACAACCTTAGCCCCTTCACTTACTCTTTTTTTTTTTTTTAGTTGTATATGGACACAATATCTTTATTTTTATTTTTTACATGGGGCTGAGGATTGAACCCAATGCTTCACACATTGCGAGGCAAGGGCTTTGCCACTGAGCTACAGCCCCAGCCCCTATTCTCTCTCTCTCTCTCTTTTTTTTTTTTTTAATATTTTTTAGTTGTAAATGGATCTTTTTTACTTTATTTACTTATATGCGGTGCTAAGGATTGAACCCAGGGCCTCACACATGCCAGGCAAGTGCTTTACCACTGAGCCACAACTTCAGCCTCTCATTTACTCTTTATTGTGCTTTCAGGGTCATTTTTCTAAAATGTGAATCTGATTTTGTCACTGTCTTACTCACCTCCTTTAAATCCTTAACCATTGACCTCAGGATAAAATCCAAATACCTTCAAGGAGCATACAAAACCCTGTAGACCCTCCTTACCACATTTTTTTCCCAATATTTTTTCTATTTTTTTGTCCATTTATTTTTTTCCTAATTTTTTTATAGTTATAGATGGACAGAATGCCTTTATTTTATTTTTTAATTTTTATGTGGTGCTGAGGATCAAAACCAATGTCTCATGCATGCTAGGCAAGTGCTTTGCCACTGAGTTATAGCCTGGCCCTGTCCATTTTTTTTTTTT